ATTATTATTATTATTATTATTATTATTATTATTATTATTATTATTATTATTATTATTTGATCAAAAACTCCATCGTTCCACAGCAAACTATATTAACGTGAAAATGATGGATGCAGACATGGTGACCACCACTCAAATGGTACCGTTAAGTACAGTGATACCTTGGCACTCAACAGCTTTGAAACTCATCGAATTTGGTACTCAACGCATTTTGATGTGAAAATTTTGTCCCGGTACTCATCATTTGTTCGGTACTCAATGCACAACATAGAATTTGTCAGTGTTGGCTGCCTTGTGACTCACTTACATTATTCCTTATTGGGAAAAATTTGTTTGGTACTCATCATTTTTGATACTCACCATGCCTCCTGGAACGAATTAACAATGTGTACCAAGGTACCACTGTATTTGCATCCTAATGTCTGATTTGTTACATCCTGAGGATAATGATAAAGTCACACATGTCATCATTAGCTTCCTCTGTCTTAGAAATTAACTCAGATTTTTGTATCTCACACAGTTTGACAAATGTTCCTTTAGCTGCTTGGGAAAACAAGTAATCTAGAACAGCCTGCCAATTTTTATAGATTGCTATGAATACTTCTTTCCCACTCTCCAGAATTTTTCCAGAAAGATTGACATGATAGACTCTAGTAACTTTCAACTAGGGCAGCAACATTCTCACCATTCTAATCCACCCAGAGCAGAACTCTTGGTCATTTTTTAAGGATTCCACATTCTTCTTTTCACTAGATTAGATTTAATAGGAAGTCATACCCACTGCAGATAACAAAGGTAGTCTGGAGTTTCAGGAACTGCTTCTGTAGATTTTTCTAAAATGATCACTTTCTTATATCTTTTGCTATAAAACAGTAGGAAGTCCATTACCAATCCTATCAAATTATTTTGCTTTTGTCATGACTGTTGGCAATCTGTATTATGATCTTGTGTTTTAAACCAAGGATAAAATGAATGCCACAGCTTTCAATTTTGTGCTTCAAACAGCTAAGTTCCAATTCACCTTCAGCCACAGAGGTCTCTCTCTCTTTCTCTCTTAGCACAATCTACCTCATAGGGTTATTGTTGAATAGAATGTAATTAAGGAAGAATCCCATATACCCTGTGTTGAGCTTCCAAGGAAAAGGCAGGAAATAAATGCCATGATGTTTAATAATAATAATAATAATAATAATAATAATAATAATAATAATAATAATAATAATAATAATAATAATAAAAAGTTGGAAGGGACTTTGGAGGTCATCAAGTCCAACCCCCTGCTAAGGCAGGTAACCCTATACCATTTCGGACAAATGGCTGTCCAGTTTCTTCTTAAAAACTTCCAGTGTTGGAGCATTCACTGCTTACCTTTTAATTCATTCTGATGAAATCTATAATAGCAGGAAAAAATGCTACAAGCCTTCTGATAAATGTTCAAATTTCTCTTTAAAACCATAAAGAAGGAAAAGCAGTGTCCTGTGATAAAATACTTAAATATATCTGGCTATAAGCACACAACCATGAACAAAAGGGCTATTCATAGGATTTTCTAATAATATTAGACCAGAATAGCACCAAAACTGCATTATTATGGGTACTTTAGCACCTTTATGATTTATCACATGGTTTTATTTTCAGATTTCAGAAGGCTAGCTCTGAAAGATCTTTAAAAAAAAACCACTCCAAAGTTAGAAGCATTCATATTTATCATTCTACCCATGTCTCAATTTTTCCAGATTTGCTGCTTTACACTGCAGATGGGAATACGCTAGATATTAGACACACTAGAGTTGTGTCTGCACCGTCTTCAAGCAGTATCAGTAGTATTAGAGAATTACTACTTGTAATAAGTAATGTTTGCTTCCAAATCTAGAGAGCACATTTCTCCATCCCTCGACACCCCCACAGGCAGACGTACTTCAGACATTTCAAGAACTGTGGAAAGAAAATATATCCCTTTAAGACTCCCCTTTCTCTACTACTTCAGGAGCTGTTGCAGTGACTCCAGCTAGAACTACCGGTAGTATCCCAGGGCATATAACTATGAAGTGTGGAAATCATACAAGTTTGATCATGTATTTGAGAAGGCAACTGCAAGTGCATTAAAGCTAACTATCAAGATATACTGGTTTCAAAGAACTGACCTCTCCACACAAAGATTGTGTAGCATATGCACTGAACAGTGGTTTCAACAATAGGGAAAGAAAAAAAACCCCTCCAAATTCAACTGATGCATTTGAGAAAAACTTCGGAATGTTTCAGCACTAACAGAATCAACAGTACATAGAATGGGATGATATGACACATACCACTCACCAGAAAAAAATCCCAGATTGACGAATCCAAATATTATTTAAAAAAGAAAAGAAAATGAAGGAGAAATAAGAATAAGTGTTAAGTTAGAGAAGAGACAGTACAGAATAATTTCTGGCTAATTTCTATTAAGATACTTCATTTGGCCAGCATGAAATAAACAGAATTAGCCGACCTTTTTAAAAAGTGCATTTTGTTAAGTCATATAGTCTAATCTACACTATTATTAAAATATCACATACACTGATTATGAAAACATAAATTAAAATATACAGTATAGCTGACAAGTTTTTAGTTTTTTAAAATATACATGGAGCTCAACCATTTTGGGGGAAGGGGGAGGCAAAAAATATATACCATTGCAGAATTATGTGAAAGATATAATCAGCTACATCTGGTGTCAACATAAGCAGGGTAAGCGAGTCAACTAAAATATGAAATCAACAGAGAAGGATCCAATAGAAAAATATAGTTTAAAAATTAGTCACAATTCATAAATACAACCTGTTTATTTCAGCTTTTATTAAAACAGAATGTAAACATGTTCATTGATCGTTGTACATCTGCATGCCTTGAGTCTCAGCCATATGTTGTAGCAATACTTCTTTCCTAAGAGCTTGGGAGCTATGCCAGCAGCAAAATATCTTTTCTTCCATTTAAGGCAGGCTCTGTGTATGTCAGCTTTACTGCAGTTTGCCCATCTTCCTGCAAGGCTGATAAATGGGTCTTTCAGCAGGAAAACAGCAAACAGCATGACAGAAGGACCAAACACATCTGAGAATTTAAAATCTCATCCAAAAGTAAGCACAGGCCAGAACAAGAGATGATAAGGAAACGGAAGGAAGGGAGAAGAAAAATTCTTTGTTGCATTTTGTGGCTACTTGAAATTTGAATTGGGTCTGTATATACATTCCACTGCCCAATATGTTATATTTCAGAGTCAGTTTGCTGGGATGGTTAAGGCAGAGGTCTTAAACACATTCTATAGGCCAGGGCTTTTCAACCCGTGGTATGCATACCACTGGTGGTACTTCGGCATCTGGTTTAGAGTTTAGAGTTTAGAGTTTATTGTATTTATATCCCGCCCTTCTCCTGGTGGACTCAGGGCGGCTTACAGCCAGTTAAAACAAAACAATTAATACACTGTAAAAAAATTAATGCACTGTAAAAAAAAAAGTGTAAAAAAATTGTAAAAGTGGATGAGCTGAAGCCGCGGCAGTGCCAAAGAAGCCTGGGGGAGATTCAGCTGGAGCTGCAGTATTGCCGGGGCTCTGCTGAGAGCCCAGGATCTGCACACACAGCTCCAGCTGATCAGTGCTTCCAGCGCACCTGGAAGAGAAAAGGAGGAGGGGAGAGAAGAGAGGATATAAAAGGAGGAGGAGGGGTAGAGAGAGGAGAAGATATAAAAGGAGGAGGGGGGAGAGGAGAGATGATATAAAAGGAGAAGGGAGAGAGAGAGGAGAGGATATAAAAGGAGGAGGAGGGGGGAGAGAAGAGAAGATATAAAAGGAGGAGGAGGAGAGAAGAGAGGATATAAAAGGAGGAGGGAGGAGAGGAGACATATAAAAGGAGGAGTAAAACCCGTACTTTTTTCCTTTTTTTTCTCCAGTTTGTAACATTTTATTAGATTATGGTATAAAATACAAAAATACAAAAGCAAATTGTAGGACACAGTGTGGAGGAAAAAAGGAAAGAAAAGTGAGGTGGAGAAAGGAAAAAGAAAAAAGACATTGACTCCCGACTTCCTCTGTTGCAGTAGAATGAAGCATTAACATCAAATCTCAACTTTTTACTTTTCCATAATAGTATAAACTAGCCATTTCTACAACAACAAATCAATATAATCAGTAAAACCCAAAATTCTCCCCTCCCCCGTTTTTTTTAGTCATCAAGTTTTTGACACCTTGTTAAGCAGGGTGGTGCTTGAGTATTGTCATGTCCTAAAAGTGGTACAATCTGTGAAACGGTTGAAAAGCCCTGCGACAGGCCACTGAACTCTTTGCTACAGCCCACAATAGCTCAACAATGACAGCTGCTGCTGGAACCCAAATCCCGCTGGACCACCTCTGCAGACCCCTGCTCTCTGCTGCCGCCATCCTTATATTTTTATCTCACTTTTTTATGTCTAACTCAACATATATTCTGAGCATAAAACAATAACAATATACAAAAGGCTCATTGATACATTTTGAGCTTGAGGGTGACAGAGTTAGACTGTGCACAACAGCTTTCACATAAACAATTACAAGTAGTCCTCGACTTATAACCAGAATTGAGCCCAGTATTTATGTTGCTAAGTGAGAAATTTGTTAAGTGAGTTTTGCCCCATTTTTCGACTTTTCTTGCCGCCTTTGTTAAGTGAATCACTGCAGTTGTTAAATTAGTAACACGGTTATTAAGGGCTTGTCAGAAGGTCGCAAAAGGGAATCACATGACCCCGGGACATTGCAACTGTCATAAATACGAGCCAGTTGTCAAACATCCAAATGTAAATCACATGACCACGGGGGGATGCTGCAACACTTAGAAATGTGAAAAATGGCCATAAATCACTTTTTTCAGTGCTGTTGTAACTTTGAATGGTCACTAAATGAACTGTTTTAAGTCGAGAACTACCTGTACTACATTATTTACTATAAAGAGTTCACTGGGTTCTTTCGTGGATAAATGCAGAACGTTGATCCTACGACTTTTTTCTGAACAAAAATTTAACTGATAACCATATTCCTTACCCTTCTTTACCAAATTCTCCGGATTTTAACGCTTCACCCAGTGGTTCTTTCCCAAGTTTGGTCAAATTCATCTTTGTCTCGAGGGTCATCAGAAAAGATCCATTGTACAATATTTCCAAGTCAATCCAAAGTCCTAGAATTTTTGGGAGAATATCATGTTAAGTATAAACAACAAGAAGTGTGTGTGTGGGGGGGAGGAATTTGCCACAGGATGCAAATTACACACATGCCTTCAGATTGTTCCCACCTCTTCTTTAGAAGTCAAGGCTATTATTATGAATGTAAGCTGCAATTTGATCGGTAAAGGCAAGCATGAAGCGAAGACGGCATTATATAATTCAGCAGATTTAGAAATGTTAGCACTCTAATTGGTAATAATGTCTGTATCTGCTGTATTGATCTTACAATTGGATTGTTTCAAAATCCTAAGAGTTACTGGAAAATAAGAGGGTGATTCTTTCTCAAAAAGAGACTTGCTGTGGAGCACTCACTTTCACTTTTTTTAGTCTTAAGAAAATCTAATGACCAGTTTTTATCCTATGACACACTATTGTTTAAATCGTAAAATTCATAGATTGCTAGCTTGTGACAGTGGAGCCTCCAAAGTAACACAGGGAAAAAACTGTTTTGTTCCATTCAGACAGTAGCAAAATAGAATGTGAACTCAGTTAAGACATACATGCACAACCTTACTTATTCATTTCAGTGCGGGTAAGAGGCAAATCTATTCAGAAGAATGGAAGTGGAATAATTTCTACATAGCACACTGGAGTAGCACTACTTACGTATATTATATGGAGGATCTTTGCATAAAAAGTAGGCCATGTGCTGCAAAGGAATACAGGTAAACCTCAACTTACGATCACAATTGAGCTTGGGATTTTGATCCTAAGTCATTGCGGTCATTAAGCAAGGCACCTCACAAATGCTTCGCTCAATGACTGCAATCCTGGCGCCTCCAGTTGTAGTTGTTAAGCGATCCTGTGGATCATTAAGCAGAGTATACGGTGCCTTAAGGAGTGGGGGAGGGGCTGCAAGGCCTTAGTCAGCTACAAGATACAGTAGCGTGGACAAAGCTGCTGTGGGCCAGAAGGCCTTGGGCCTTCTCTCTGCCCTTCTATGCCTGAGAAGCTTTCAGTTGGCTCCACCACCCAATCATGCCCAGGAGATAAATTGCTCCGCTTCTCTTTGGGTTTTTCTGAAGATGCTGACAGGCACACGCAGCTGATGGGAGATGCAGCCTTCCGACAGAGGCTGCTTCACACCCTTCCGCAGGTGGCTGCTGGGGCCTAGTGGGATGTGGGAGAGGCCAAAGGCCGCCATGACCTCAGCAGCTTTGCATGTGCTGGTGGGCTGGGTAAATGGCTGAGTTGGGTTAGACCAGGGGTAGGCAACCTTGGCTCTTTTATGACTCGTGGACTTCAACTCCCAGAATTCCTGAGCCAGCATGGCTGGCTCAGGAATTCTGGGAGTTGAAGTCCACGAGTCATAAAAGAGCCAAGGTTGCCTACCCCTGGGTTAGACAGATAGACAGATGGGGGGAGTTGCATTGCCCGTTCAGTCAGTCATATGGAGGGCTGGAGTGTCCAAATTTTCATTACGTGGCTGCAGAAGTGCTGCAATAACCGTAACTTCAAATATAGGTCATACATCCATTTTTTTCAGCACCACTGTAGTTTTGAATGGTCACTGAACAAACGATCGTAAATTGAGGAGTACCTTTATGATTGGAGATATGATGATTTCATCAGAGTCAATAGGGCTACAATTTTTGGACTGTTTAAATTTACTTTGGTGGCAGTTAACTTTTCAAAAATTGTAACAAGAGTTTAAAAATTAGACCGCTAAGAATTACTATTTTGCCACCAAATTTAAGTAGCATGATCTTTGAAAGCTGTAAATCAAATAAATGCTCTTGCTATAAATGCACATCCTTCCTCTTTAATATTGTATTCAACAGTTCTGAAAACACCCAAATATTGCCTTCCAGTTTTCTCCAAAAATGCCCCAAATAAATCTCCTTATGAACCTATCTTAAGGGACAATTAAAAAGCCTGTAAAAAGAAACATGAACGCTTCCCACATCGTCTCTGAAAATGTTTCAAGCATTGCAATTTCGATCCTGTCATCTGCCCTGAATTCCATAGGGGGGCATCCATCTATCTGAGGCAGACTAGCAATAACCTCCGTGCAACTGTTTGTAATTGTATTGTTCTGATCTGTATGTAATTTCCTGCAATTATAAAGGGGGAAGCTTTAGAGAGCATCTGCGAGGCAGAGAGATAAAACAGCCACATCACAGACTCAAAACATTGTTCCTATTTAGCTAAAGAAGACAGGAAATGGAAAGGATCAGCATCTCAGAGCAGCTGCATCGTGCTATTTACAATCAGTTGTGAGGAAGATTGTCCCCTTATAGCAGTGATGGCGAACCTTTTAGAGACCCAGTGCCCAAACTGCAATCCAAAACCCACTTATTTATCAACGGGTGCCAGGTGGGCATGGCCGCAGTGGTCATGGCAGACTGGGTGGGTGGGGCCAGGGAGGCGGCGGCCAGTCCCCACCATCTCCAGGGCATGGCACGCGTGCCCACAGAGAGGGCTCTGAGTGCCGCCTCTGGCACGCGTGCCATAGGTTTGCCACTACTGCCTTATAGCAAACCAGACACACCAAACCCCTGAGGAAGGGGACACTTTGGAATGTGATATCCACAGCCAAACATATCTAGTGGGGATGTGCAAAACTTACCCCTTAATTCTCATGTCATAATTTTGGCTATTAAAAAACCCCCACCATGTGGAACATTTCTAATATTCTTGTTTTACAGAATAACAAATGTGGATGCATGAACAGGTTCAGAGGGAAGCCATTGGCATAATGCTTCAGGTGTCTGCCTAGGTTCAAATGTATCTTATAGTCTCTCGGCTCTATTTAATTGGTCAATTCACACACTTTCTCCACCAACCCTATTTTCTAGAGAGGTAAAATGAAGAGAAATCCTCAAAAACCATGGAATATAATAAACTGGGGCAGGTGTGCTTAAACTCAAAATACCTCAAACGTTTACCTCAACATCCCAGTAAAGTATGTTAGAATGAAATATAGTGCAGCGCCTTCTTTCTCCTTCTTCTAGGTCCACATTTTCTCCCTTATACTTAGCTGCTTATAATATATCCACGAAACCATTCCTAAATTGAACATGCAGCAGTTTCCCAATTAGGATTACTTTTCAACTCTAAAGAGCTAAGTAGCAAGTGGCCTCTTTTCTTTCATCTAAATGCACCTCTAATGGAGACAAATAAGCTCTTTAATGACGTTATTATGCGATAATATATTGGTTGCCTCTGAAATCTTTGTCAAAGCTTCAATCTCTTTGGATGAGCAATGGACGTATTTTTCACTCACTGGAAAAGTACTCAAATCTTTAAAGGGTGAAACAGAATGAGGCAGAAAATAGTAACACCCACTCAGTAGTCCTAACCAGTACATTTATCTTTCAACCCCAAAGATCTGGAATTTGCTTCCATGCCTTATTGTACAATGCCATGTCTCAGTAACAATCTAGTCAAAGAACGTGGAGAAAAGCAAGGTTTTACACTTAGGCAGGAAAAACCAAAGGTACAAGTACAGATTAGGTGAAACCTGGCTCAAAAACAGTAACTGTGAGAGGGACCTTGGAGTCCTAGTGGACAATCACTTAAACATGAGTCATAAGTGTGCGGCAGCAGCCAAAAAAGCTAATACAATCCTTTGTTGTATAAACAGAGGCATACAATCAAAATCACGAAGTATTAGTGCCACTTTATAAAGTCTTAGTAAGATCATACATGGAATACTGCATCCAGTTTTGGTCATCGCATTACAAAAAAGAAGTTGAGACTTTGGAAAAAGTGAAAAGAAGAGCAACTAAGATGGTTAAAAACCTGGAGACTAAAACATATGAAGAACGGTTGCGGGAGTTGGATTTGGCTAGTCTACAGAAAAGAAGGACTAGGGGGGGACATGATAGCCATATTCCAGTATTTGAAAGATTGCCACAAAGAGGAGAGGGTGAATTTATTTTCCAAAGTACCAGAAGGCCGGACAAGCAACAATGGATGGAAACTAATTAAGGAGAGAAGCAATATGGAATTAAGGAGAAAATTCCTAACAGTGAGGACAATTAACCAGTGGAACAGCTTTGCCTCCAGAAGTTGTGGGTGCTCCATTCCTGGAGGTTTTTAAGAAGAGACTGGGCAGTCACTTGTCTGAAATGGTATAAGGTCTCCTGCTTGAGCAGGGGTTGGACTAGAAGACCTCCAAGGTCCCTTCCAGCTTTATTCTGATTGAAAAAAAGAGCAGCCACCAATTGCTCTACAGGGGCTGAAATATTTCTATTGCAGTAAATTGAATGAATCAATTCTAAAAATATATCATACTGTTTTTTCACAATGAAAAAATGGTGTTGCTTTAAAAAAAATCCGCACTATTTTGCAATAAGGGCAGACTGAATTCTATTTCTATGATAGGATGAAAACAAAAAAGAGTCATTCGAACTACAATTCTGTTCTGCTGGGTTCATTAATTTGTACTCAGATGCTGTTTTGACAATTTAATACGACATTTATATAAAGCAACAGACATGAATAGAGCCTATTTGATTAATCTCCATCAAAATAGACCCAGTGATCAAGAACCAACAAATACATTTTTCCTGTGATTTCAGTTGGTGAAATTCAGTTGCTTTCATTTATGCAATCAGTGAGTCAGCAACCTCCAAGTACCAATTCTTTTTAATATAATATAATGAAATTAAACAAAAATAATAATTCAAGGAGATTACAGATATAAATTTTTCATTCATGACAAACCAAATTTTCCAATATGAGGCAATAAGAAACAGTTGTATTGATAATCTAGTTGAACGTTTTATATCGTGTTACTAAATTAAAAAAAATAGTGTGCCTTGCTGTTTTTTGTTGTTTGGACTTTTTAAAAATTGTGTAAATTACCCAGAGTCTTCTAAAATAGGCAGTCATAATGTAATAAATTAAATTATTAAACCACAGGAAAGATGTCCCCATTTCTGTGCAAAATATAAATAATGTATTTTAAAAGTAATACATGAGGGAAAATTAAAAGACAAGCCCAAATTTGAAAGCTCCCTTTCAAACATTCATTTAAAATGATAGAAGTAAATACTAGTATCTACCCTTCCGAGTCAAATAGTTTCCCATCTTTAATAGGGCACATTCAGACAGAAATAGAAGAGAATGTACTGTATATGTAGCTCAGGGGTGAACTGTGAAGTTCTTGGTGCTGTCTGAGCTTAGTGGTTTGTTTGCAGGTGTTTCATTACCCAACTAGGTAACATCGTTAGTGTGTAATTATCATAAGTATGGTGTTTGCTCTCTGTTTATATTCAGTAGCTTGCCATGCCACTTTTAGTTGGTTGTGGTTTTGTAATGCCCTAATCAACAAAGGAAGGAAACCATAGCAAGGAAAAAAATAGCTGGGTAATGAAATGTCTGCCAACAGCCAACCAAACTCAGGGACCACCAAAAAGTCCACTTCTAGGTAGTGAAATAGAAAACATGATTTGTTTATGGATAAAATATATATATATAAACTAAGTAAACTGAAGCTCTGCTCAATGAAGCAATCAATTCAAGTAGCATTTACATGCACCACTCCCCCATTATTTTTTTTTACTAAAGAGATTTCTGGCCCAATCCAATCCCAAAAGGAGGGACAAACAGTGAAAACAAAGCTGCAACGATGTTAAAATAAAAGCTACGCAGCCATACTTTATGAGAACGACATCATACAATAGGAGTCCCCCTTTTTCTTCCAAAATGCAAGGAGGGTTAGGGCTATGTCTATGAGGGAAGGGGGGAATTCTATAAAGTGGGGACTGTTACCAAAAAAGACTGCCACCTTATTCAGGCTATTTGGGCAAAGCATTGCCTGAGATAACACAATACCCCACTGTGTAGACCTAAAAGTAACCTGAGCACTCTGAACTGGGCTTGGAAGCCTATTGCTAACCAGTGCAGCATGTTCAAATAGATGCTCCTCTACATGCTATAACACAGTGGTGGCGAACCTATGGCACGCGTGCCAGAGGCGGCACTCAGAGCCCTCTCTGTGGGCACACGCACCATGCCCCGGAGATGGCAACTGTCCCTCTTCAACCAGCCGCCCACTAACTTGCCAAGGTCCCACGTGGCTGAATGCATCCCAGCACAGCTGTTTTCCCTCCCCCCATCTCATCCCTCCTGGCCTCACATGCTCTCCTTTTCTCAGGCATGGTCCACTGCATCGCCTCCTCAGCTGTCAGCCGTCAGCCTAGCTCAGAGGCGGCTTCTCTGAACTGCTGGCGGCAGGCTGCAGAGCCCCAGAGTGCGCCGGTAGAGGGGCCGGCTGGCTGTGGCTGCTGATGGACACTGTCGGCCCCCATGCGCTCACTGGCCTCTGTGTGCGGGGGCCGATGGGGTCAGGCAGCAGCTACCCCAGCCCCTGCCTTCCCTTGCCCTGTGACAATGGCACCCCTGCCCTGCCTCGCCTTGCCTCGTCCTGGAGGACAAGCCTCCTGCCCACCGCCCCACCTGCCAGAGACCCCCTGGATCTCCCCCAACCCTGCCCAACCCCCACAGGCGTCCCTCCCCACAAGCAACATCGAGGTGACCACGCCCACCTTGGCCCAGTCTACCATGACCACCACAGCCATGCCCACCCAGTGGGCCACGCCCATCTGGCACCCGGCGATAAATAAGTGGGTTTTGGGTTGCAGTTTGGGCACTCGGTCTCTAAAAGGTCCGCCACCACTGCTATATCATATCCTCCCTGCTGTTCAGGTGCAGCTTAGATGTTGCATCCAGAGGCAGTCCCATGCAGGAAAAACAACAACGTTAGAGCAGTCTAAGAGAGATATTGTTAGAACTAGAGAACATTCATTGAGTGCATATTATGATTAGGTAACAGCATGATAGTTTTCTATTATTAATGCATCCTACAACATTAAAATTCAATGCAATACCTTTATAATCAATGGTAGGCTTATAGGCTTGAAGGATTTTCGGCAACGCAATTCCCATGTCCAATTCCGTTAGTGTTAATTCATTCATGAAGTATGGCAACTAGAAGAGGGAAAAAGTAGAATAAAGCAGTCCTTTCTCTCTTTTCCCAACATTTGTGGGGTTTGAATGATTGACAATACCTGGGATGGCCCAATACTTCCAGGGCCACATTAAGATCCCAAGAGGCCCCTGAAAGCAATAATCTGGTTTATTAAAATATTACCTGGACCTTTACTTATCAATAAATCACAGTAAGTATATGCATAATAAAGTGGTAAAAATATCTTTAGTGTATTTAATTTTGATGTATGAACATTTTGTTCTTATTATTCTACTTTTTGAAACTTAAAACGTTTTCATAGATCCCTCTCACCTTGCAAAGTTTTGTAGGCCCTAGGAGTGTACTTACAAGTAGTCCTCAACTTATGATCCAACTGACCCTGGAATTTTGGTTGTAAGTCATTGCAGTTTAATCATCATGCAACCGGACTTGATTTTACCAGTGTTTTACAGTGGATGTTAAGTGAGTCACCATAGTTGTTAAGCAAATAATGTGGCTGTTAAATGAATCACATGGTGATAAGTTTGAATCCAAGGCTTACCTAGTGGAGTAAGGTTTTTTTGCCAGAAAACTACAAAAACCTTGCAAAATTTGATCATATGACAAGGGGATGCTGCAACTGGTTGTAAATGTGAACTGGTTGCCAAGGTTGCCTGAAATGTGATGAAGTGACCATAGGGATAGTATGGCGGTTGTAACTTTGAGGATGGGTCTTAATTAACTTTTTTTTTAGTCCATTGTAACTCTAAATAATCATTAAGTAACTGGTTGTAAGCTGAGCGTTACCTGTATTGTGACCAAGGACACAAGCATTCCCCCGTTCTGGTCACTGGGCGGTGCCCTCCACAACCTTTTTAGTTTAGGCTCCAATGAGACCAGACACCCGGAGACACTTGCCCATGTGAACCTGCATTTTGCAAAATGCCATTCAGGCAAATATGTGGGCTCTTAAACACAGTCTTCTGAAAGGTTGGTAGAACTTTTTCTACACAATGTTCATTGGTCTTTCAAAAGACTGACAGACCTGTCTGCCCAAAATAAGGGGAAAAAAAGGTTCCCACTTGATTTAAACTATTGACTCTCCCAAATGAAGATGGTGTATCCCTATCTGCATGCACACATGCTCTTGGTAACTCCTTGGAGAAGTCTGGCAGTTTTCTGGCCAAAATTTTTAGAAGTGGTTTGCCATCGCTTTCTTCCTAGGGCTGAGAGAGAGAGTGATTAGCTCCAGGTTACCCAAGTTGGCTTTCTGCATAAGGCAGGACTAGAATTCATGGTCTCCTGGTTTCTAGCCTGCTGCCTTCCTTAACTATTACATCAGACTGGCTCTTTTGTCCTAAATGAGTGCATTACAGGCTTTCAGATCCTTCTACTAACACATGGTTTTCTATGCTTTCTACTATTTTTTAATTTCTTGAGCGGTGTGCTATTCTGCCTACTGCAATATCGTTCTACGTGTTCCACAGAATACTTTTGGGTTCTGCCAAGTGCAGCCACTTGCTGCCAACAGTACTGTTCCCTTGCAGCACACACGAACCTGGACATATCAAAGCTGGGTGAAATTAATAAGAGCTTCCCTTTCTGACTCAAGTGACAGAAAGACCATAAACCGGTTTCCAAAAATAGCCTAGTTGACAGATCAATAGGAGACAGGACTGTCCCAATGTGACATGAAAGCTCCCTCCTGCTTCAGCCTGCGTATTTTTCTCCACTCCATCAATCTGTCAGTTGGTCTATTTCTCAGTGCAAGCCCACCAGAGTCTTCTAAATCACCAGTAACATGGTGTTCAGAAACCTCCCGAGTGACAGATTACCAGCGTGGAGCAGCCAATGACAAGTTACCAGGGCAATCTAAAAGGTGGCTAAATCATCTGCATCAAGCACCCATCCAGATACCAAAGCCCATTGCTACTCTATGTCAAGGAGAGCAATCAGTCCTGCCAGTGAGTGACAGCAGAAGGAGAGGGGGAGCAAACCCAGGAGAATCCCCAATTGCTTTCCTTCAATAGTCCTGTACAGGGAGTCATCAAGTTACAACAATAACTGGGACCAGAATGTCCATTGCTAAGCACAGTGGATGTTAATAGCAACAGCACTGAGACTTACTTACACATTGCAGCACTTTACAGCCCTCTCTGGGCGTTTTACAGAGTCAGCATAATTGCCCCCAACAATCTAGGTCCTCATTTTACCAGTCTCAGAAGGATGGAAGGCTGAGTCAACCTTGAGTCCTGTCAGGATCAAACTCCAGGCTGTGGAATGCAGAGCTTTTGCCTGCAATACTGCATTCTAACCACTGCGCCACCAAGGCTCCTATTAAGCCAAGTCATACCCGGTCTTATGCCCTTTTTTGCCACGGTTATTAAGGGAATCACTGCAGTTATTAAGCAAATTCGGCTTTCCCCATTGATTTTGCTGGAGGCTGACTGGGAACATTGCAAATGGCAATCATATGACCCCCGTGACACTACAACCATTGTAAATATATGCCAGTTGGCAAGCATCAGAATTCTGATCACATGACTGTGGGAATTGTGCGACAGTCATAAATGTGAGGACCAGTCATTTTTTCCCCAGTGACATTGTAATTTTGAATGGTTGCTAAATGAATGGATGTTAAGTCAAGGACTACGTGTAGTGAAGCCATTAGGATAGGGACTTGCAAACTTTGTTAGTGAGGCAAACTGGAACTCAGCTGTCAGGGCAGCACACATGTTTGCTGCTGATTCAAGCACTGGATAGCCACTGAAATGGTACAGAGTCTCTTGCTTGAGCTGGGGGTTGGGCTAGAAGACCTCGAAGATCCCTTCCAGTTCTATTCTATTCTATTCTGATATTCTGGCATTACACTATGGTGAGGAACAGCCCAAAGTCAAATAAGAAACCCAGAACTGCAAGGAAAGTAGAGAAATCTCTTTCTTGCTCTCCTAAAGGAATTTTAAGTCACTACCAGAACCTGTGATGGAGACATGAAGGGCACAAGACATGCTTTGAGGGACTAAAGGCCCACCTGTTTTCTGTTTCCACAAAAATCATCTAGAACAGGGGTAGTCAACCTTGGCTCTTTTATGACTCATGGACTTCAACTCCCAGAATTCCTGAGCCAGCACAGCTGGCTCAGGAATTCTGGGAGTTGAAGTCCACGAGTCATAAAAGAGCCAAGGTTGACTACCCCTGATCTAGAAGATACTTATCTCTATTAAAAACAAAGAAACAAAAATGGGAGTGGGGCAATACACTTTGACGTGTACAATATTCTAAACATGAAGGGTTACATCAAACGTGTGAATGACAATGCCTTGGGATCCATTTGAAAATCTTCAACAATGTGGTGGAATTACCAGCTGAAGGGGAGGGATGCCCCTCTAGAGGGAGCAAAGAGAAATTCCAGCTTGGAATCTCTTCAGGAGAGAATATGCCTGAGGTCAAACCTTTAGGTCTATATCTGTCATTTCCCAAGGGAGAAGGCAGTCTCGAGAAATTCTTGCAATACAGATGATCAATAATAAAATATCTACTTGGGCCGCCCTATTGGCTCTGGTTGCTTGTGCTTGACAAACAGTATCTCATAACCCCAAATGTGTCCATAAACCCAAAATGAGTTGCCTGCCCCTGCATTATGAAAAAATGAAGGATCTGTCAAAAGGTCTTGTGGAAGAGAGGGGGAAAGGAGAGTACATTTTACTACTGGTAGATTAATGTATGACTTTGTAATTATGAGCTAGTTGACAAAATGCTCATCTTAAGCAATCTTCCTCATCCTGATGTTGTGTCAATGCATTCGGAGAGTATCAGACTTTGGAAGGCTGCTCCTAAGAAATGTAGGGATTTCTTTCCTGATTTAGCCAGGGGGATTCTACTTCTTCTCACTATTGTTTTTCACCTCACTATTCTGGCACCTCTCTCCTAGCTTTTCTGGGGCTCAAGCTTTAAACAGGCCCTCTCTCTTGCTAGCTACTAATGGATCACTACTGGAGCAACACTGAACTGAGTATAGCAACAAGATCATTACCAAGACGAATTGAGTAAGAGCATGAGGGGGTGTCAATAATTAATTCAACCAACCTAGTGAACTCCACACAGATTTCCAATATCAGAACACTATTATTTCACGTACATTTGAACAAAATGTTCCTAGCCTTTAATAGAAAGAACAATAAAAGCTTTGGCTGAGCTTGGAAGGGAAGCTTTTGTGTCCAAAATTTTAGGCTTTAATTCACAGATGCATCGCTGGGCACACACATTGGCTGCAGTTAGTTCTTTAAAAGATGCCAAATGGCCATCCTTACTGAAATATTCAAATGGGAAGTTTGTTTTCATGCTAATATATACAATCATTCCTGCAGAACGGCATTAGGAAAACTGATCACTTATGCTGCCAGCTAATTTGGAAGTTAGTCTGCTTGTTTCATTTGTACAATCAAGACACGTAGAGGAATTAACTGAATGGGACACAGCTGAATCACAGCACTACCTTGGATCATACATTTTCATTTAAAACTCAGGGGAACAGAGAAACAAAAACAGTGCTTGGATCATTTATTATTCAAAAGTCTGCAAACTGGGGGCACAAACAGAACCTATTAGAATCTCTGCCTTGGCTCTCTGATACTCCTGCCCTGAAGATTAATGCTTGGAGTGGAGAAATATTTCACTCACATGAAAATCCTGAATGAGCAACCAACTCTTGAATTATCACGTGGTACTTAGAGCCCTCTAAAATAAATGAATATCATCATTGGAATAGACTAGACATCCCAAAACTGTGGTTGGATTGAGAGAAAACAACAGCTGGAGGATGCTAAACGTCCTGTATTCCATCACAGTGAGAGATTATTTGAAATGATTTTTCCCCCCTGTGGGAAACAAACGATTACTTTCCAAACTGTGCTTTGCTAGAGAGGAATTATACCAGACATTACTAAAATCTTTGCAGGGGATAATAACTGGAGCAGGAAGCAAATGGATCGTTTTTGAAAACTGTAAATCTTCTTCATAAATTATCTTTTTGCCCAAGGACAAAGTTTAGTACATCAAATGGGTTTACTCTGCTGGACCAGACCTGCACATCTGTGAGAATCAGACCATACAACCTCTCCTAGTTTCTCCACTGTTAGGAGGCAGACTGTTGCAGACCTGATGGACCTGACTGAAGCCATTGCACAAGCATTCGGTTGTGCACAAAAGATAAATGGCTGCTGGAAGAAGAATTATTGTTAATAATGAAAAAAAGAGGACAAAACTATGTTTATATCATTAATTAAAACTTATGTTGGAGGTTCTTAAAGAGGAAAAAGTATCAGACCTCCTGGCAGACCATCTCCATGAAGCTTCATTTACTACTTTTGAGTCAAGGCAGAAAAGGGAGCAGGCCTATTACATCAGACCTGCAAAGGTTACCATCTTTTCTCTCAAAATGTTTCCATTCTTGACATGCCATTTTCTTTTCCCTCCCAATCCTTTTATGACATATCTTTTAGGAAGTCTGTCTAGGGCAGGGGTAGGCAATCTTGGCTCTTTTATGACTCGTGGACTTCAACTCCCAGAATTCCTGAGCCAGCCATGCTGAGGGGAAAGGGAGAGTTTCCAAGCTGAGCCATGCTGGCTCAGGAATTCTGGGAGTTGAAGTCCACGAGTCATAAAAGAGCCAAGGTTGCCTACCCCTGGTCTAGGGCAAGGACTACCATTACTAATTTTTGTAACCTGTTCTAGGAGTTTACTTCAGCTAGCAAGTGAAATTAAAAATGGTTCAAATAAAAATAGGATAGTTAGTTAGGCTAAACATGCTAAGAAATATTATGGCTCAAGAGATAACAGACTGGTTTAGTCCCTGTACAGGTTGCACTGCCACCAGAC